ATGGATTTTGTTTATAAATAATCAGCATCTCTGGTGAGTGTGATATATTTAATTGTCATGCTGTATGCGCTATTTTATCTGTTAATTAGCTGCATATTTTATCTGAAAGGATCCTGGTGCTTTATTTGTGGTGGAACTGTGGTTATAGAGTAAAAGATTGTGGTTGTCTTAACTGGGCTTCTTGCTTAATTGACTTCTTTGTTTACACTCACACTAATGTTCCTCTCGGTTATACCTGCGCTTGTTACAGTTCATGTTTGCAAACCATTGGTGATTTCTTTTATTAAAATGGGAAAATGGTGATATTAACCTCTTAGGCAAGAAACCCTTTGTATTACCAAAATAGGATGTGCATTTCCTCAGTTAATAAACATTCAGTGAACAGGAACCTTTGGCAAGCTCCTGTGTCTGTTAGAAGTTGTCTCTAAAGGTGTATGTTATTATATTATGGGTATACATATTATATACCTATATATATATATACATATGTATTTAGATTCAGATGTAAAGGGATAAGAAGAACATTAAATTGAGGGGTGCACACTGAAGGTCTAAGTACCAGATGCAGCACCTGCCACTGAGTTAGGCACAGGGCCATTAGAGGGGCCAGCACCAGTTCTACAGGGGCACTGGCCCCTACTGTCCCCTGTCTATCACTGCCCATTAATAACCACATTCAATATTTGTGTAAAACAGGGTAAAAGAATCACAGAATGAATGAGGAGCAGAAATGGGCCAAAGGATCCAAAACACACGGGTAAATCTACCTCTGACTGGCTGAGAGTTAAATTATAAAGTTCTAGGTCTAGTCTAAACCTAGATAAGTATCTCGATGAAATCCTGTTTTGTGACTTAAATTTGTACATGTAAGACCCCCCTCTACAGCTCAGACTGATGTCAAATTAAAAAGAGGACGGGACATGGAACCAGCAATGAACAGTGAGTAAACATTGAGTTTAGCCACTGAGAGGGTGTGGAAAGTGACTTCAATGGAACAGCTGTGGTAGAATGAGCACAGACACACTGAGGGAGGGAGGGGGGACTGATTGACACTAATAAAGTGAACTAAATTAACCAATCTGGGGAGAAAAACAAAAAAACATAAGAGAATAAAGTGAAAAGCAAACAGAGGAAAGAACCTATATGGTAAAACCTCAACAACAATAATAAACACAGTATAGCAAGAACTAAACAACAACACACTACTCAGACACAATCATGGGTGGATCATGGGTTTTTATTTTATTTGAACGCTACATTGATGGATGCGTCCATCTCGGTGTGAGTTTGGTGGATTACAAATCTTGATTTAATGTCCTGAGATAAAAACTGATTACTGCAGAAGCTTCTCTTTGAAAATGATCAAATCTGTGTGATTCTGTACGGAGCAGCATGCGAAACACGACGAGGCCTGGATGATCCTGAAGCAGGTCCATGATACCAACTGGAGAGCCAAAGGGCAGCCGGAGAAGGTCTTCACTGTGAGTGAATGAAACCACCAGAAATTCATAAACCACTGAAGCAGCTCGTCATACAAGCAGATGCAGAAACTCGTGATGAAAACATAATTTCACAAACTCTGGGAAGATGTAAAGGTTTTTTAATTAAAAAAGGCATAAAGCAGATTCTGGGAATAGATCTTTCCTCTGTTGCTGAGCCCTGCTGTCCCAGTTTTTAGCAGACAGCTAAAGGCTGGGTGAGACAAGGAGCTGCTACATGGACACGTCTCATCTGTACGCCAACATGATGTATTTTTAGGATCCAGGTGCTTTTTTATTCATGTTTGTGGAGGAGAGGCTGAATATTTTGTTCTGGTGTTTGAGTAGATCTGATCAGAACCAGGATACAGGTCCATTGGTTTAGTTATTGCTACAGCCATTAAAAGATGGAATATTTCTGTGATGTGAGAAAACCTAAACAGAAAATGAAAATAAAAATTAGACATCAATGAGAAAACCCAACATTAAAATCAGAATTAACAGTATGCAAAATAGTAAAATATCCAAATGATTCAGTCAGGTTTCTTTTACCTGCATGCATGGTTTTATTTTCGAGATCTAGCTTTTTTTAACTTTCATAATTCTAATACGGTAATTTTTAGATTGTTTAACATGGACTTATTTGATATTTATGTTAAGCTATGTGTCCTTTATTTCTTCGTAGGTTTAATTTCAGATAATCTGACATGATTTGCAGACACCATCTTGTTTTTTTTTTCTGCTAGATATTGAATCCAGTACAGGTTGTTGTTTTTCAAACATTGGGATTAACCAGCTCCAAATAGAAAAATACAGTTTTTTTTCCAGTCCCCTGACTTCCTCTTATCAAAAATCATTATAAAGGAATTCTTGCAAGTGACGTTTGATGATGCAGTAGAAACCAGTAAGCCAGTTTAAAGCTGCACTGATGCCCCAGAAAATCCACTTCCTCTCTCCTGTCCCTCAGGTGACTCATATCAAGGCGCCGAAGACGGCTGAGGACGAGTTCATTGAGATTCAGAGCGCCACGGGAACGGCGGTGCAGCGGTGGGCTGTGCGCTCTCTCACCCTCTGTAAACTGGTACGCTACAAACACATACCAGTTCGAACTGGTTTGGGCTCATAGATCAAACGCTCTCCAGTATAAACATCGTCGTCCTGATTTTAGGGAATCCTTTCCACTGATCTGGTGAGAGATGTCATCAGTACAATCTGAGGCCCTGAGAATCTCCCTACCTGCTTTATCTTTGTTTTTTTCCTTTTTGATAAAAGTTTTTTTTACAACAAAAATATCTCCAGTTATTTATCAAATCCATCCTGGTTCTTACTTTGTAAAGATATACATAACTACTAACAAACATTTTCTGCTTCATGTGTGCTGTTGCAGCATTTCAGATTTACTGTAGAGAAGCTGGTTGCCTCCAAGTCTCAGAGCATATCTTCTTTAGAGAAAGATATTTCAGTCATTATATTAATTGTGTGAATGACTTTATGAAATTGGGGCTGGATCCAGCAAATGTCACTGATCTAAAGGTAAACTGTCCTTTAACAGTTTCAGATGTGTGTGTCGCTACATGGATGTCAATGGGTGTGTGTGGGGGCAGGACAGGGGCAGGGGTTTCCAAAGTGTGGACTGAGGGCTGTTTGCGGCTCTCAGGCTGACTTAACCACAAATGAATGAATGGTATGAATGGTATGAATTAGCGTTGCCAAGTTAGTCCAACAAATATGTCAGTGTTAAAGTCGTAGGGAAGTCATATTTAAATGTCAAATCATTCTGGCTTAAACATGTATATAAAATGTTCTCTTTATCAGACCATTTTGACCTAAAATTGAGAAGCTTTCTATTTTGAAAGAACATCCTGTCTTAAAATTAATTTTTTTTTTATCTTAGCAGGTCAGTGAGTTATACGTCAGCCTGAATACCTAAATTCAGCCAATCATATATCAACGGTCAATCGAATTTTTTGGGTCATAGCATCTAGATTCATATGTCGTAGCTAATATACGCAATGGTTGAAAAAAGATATAAGAATAATTTATTCATTATTACTTTCCCACTGAGTTGCGTCCCAGTGTTGACGGGGATGGACGTCTGTGTCTTCAGCAGGCGTAGAGCTAACAGAACTGGCAGCGTTGCGAGGCAAGGGCTCAAACATGTACGGCTGGAAGCCTTCTACACCAAACCAAGCTTCTGCCGCCCTGGCGTCCTCTTCCACAACATCTTCGTCCCCGCTTTCCTCCTCTAAATAAAAAATGTATGACGGAGGAGACTCATCCACGACCTCCGACACTAAACTCTCCTCCTCTTGCATGTTTCTTCTGTCCATAGCGTTCCTTGACAGTGTCGTTTCTAAGTCACCAATTTAGTGCTACTTGGTCCCAATGGAATTTCCCATTAGGAACCTACTAGCACTAAGGTGCTAACTGGTTAGCAAGATGCTTCGAGAAACCGCCCACAACCAAACTTGCTTGCGGACCTTCCGCCACCACAATCCCGCCCTCTTGATAAACAACCAATCACATTCACTTAATTCCCTCGTGTAAACATGCACCACTCTGGAGAATTCGGGAAAAACATTTGGAACGGCCGTTACCCTACGACTTTAAAGATTTTTACTGATACAAGTTTTCATAAAAAAAATCCCAATAAAGTGAAATGGATCCTGTTGTTGATTTAAATATTTCCTGAACAATCCATGACAAGATGCCAAACTGAAAACTTTTAATGCTGCTTCTTTTTTAGCATTCTTCTCATCCGGGCAAACCTGAGAGGCCTTTTTCGATCTTATGATCGACTTGCACATCGCTTTTTTTTTTAATAATAATTTGACTAATTTGTTTAAAGACTATCTCTGTTGCTGATAAAATGATCAGTGGGTCTAAAAGTAAAATGAGTGGACTGTTTTCTACAGGTGCTGAGAAACATAGCATCCCTGCTGTCTGCAGAACTGAGGTTTGCCACGCTCTTCATGGCTGTCATCTGGTTCTGTATGGCCTTCAGGTGAGTTCACCATTCATAGTCAGGATGTGCAGACTTGGGGCTGAACAGGTTAGGACCAGAAAGTTATAAATGACGTTTTCACTGTTGTTTTTCCAGTTACTATGGTCTGTCCGTTTGGTTTCCTGACATGATAAAACACCTGCAGTACGAGGAGTACGAAGCCAAGGTGAAGGTGAGCAGAACATCACTCAGCAACTTATTAGTTAACAACATGCTGTTATATTTTGGACTGGGGGAAATTAGTTTGCAGAAACATTTCAATTGGTCTTTCAGATATCTTAAACAAGTGGCTAAACAAGTTTCCCTCTGAAATCTGAGCAGGATCCCTTATTCATGCAGCAGCTTTGAGTGTAGACATGAAACTTATGAGAAAATCTTTTCACCAATATGTTTTCTGAAATGAAATCTTTGTCATTTTTTCTCTCAACAGAGGAGAACTTTTAAAATGAGGAAGTTATGTCCCCAAAAAGAGGCCTTTAACAAAAAAAATCACTTTTCAGAAGGAAGAACTTCAATTAAGGGATGTAGAGAGACCATTTCCCACATTTCCAACAGTTTTTTTTTGTGTTGGAAATGTAACTAATGACAGTCTAAAATCCAGCGCATATACGAAAACAAACAAACCACACACATCAGAATGACCGCACACCTAATTGAAATAGTTAGCTCCACGGGTGGCTCTACCTGGGAATTAAACAATTTTTCAAGTGAGCTCTGAGCCAGTTTTCATGTCAGAGGATGAAAGGGAGCACATCCATTTAGGCACAGTAAAATCTGAGCCCATAGCTATGTCTAGGAGAGAAACAGGACTAAACACTGAAAATCATCTACGATGGAAGTTGCTGATGTCACTCCCCAGGATGGTGTCACAGATCAACAGAATCACACCAGAGGAAAATGCTATTTCAAGAAAATGCAGAGAGAACATAAACTTAGAAGTTGGGCCGACAAATACTGCAAAATTACAGAATCGAGACAAAATGAAGAAGAGGGAGGAAAAGTGGTACCTATGTCCTCCAGCAGTCTAAGCATATAGCAGCATAACTATAGAAATAGCTCAGGATAACCTGGGTAGTGGCATATTGAAACTAAAAGCCAAAATTCCAGCATGTGAATCGGGAGTGTATGTGTGGTAAACCTGCCTATAAAAATCATAAAGACTTAGGTAAACACCTACTCATATCTTACATTGCTAGCTGTGCATATATGGACGAAAAGCTAAACTACAATTTACACTGGCAAGTAGGGCGGCCATGGCATTGCACAGGGTGGCCGCGGCCACCC